TGTATCTTATAAATATTTATTATTAAACAAACTTTAATTCCTTGAAAACTATTGATTTTGAATAATTTCCAACAATAAAAGCCCACTTTATTTCCACCCAAACGCTCAATAAATATCATTAACTAATGATTGAAAATAAAATAAATAATAATTTAATAAAAGTATCAAACAAAATAATTTATACCTTATATCGTTGACGAATACCATGTTTTACTGTCAAATACATGGAATTTGATGTCTTATACAATGTGGTCATTTTGTGATGAAGTTTTGATGTAAAATGTATGAAAAGTAATAACATATGCAGTAATATAATTGAGATAATAAATAGTATCATTTTAAATACAATATGTGTTTCCATATATAGCGAAACATTATCATCCAATATATAATTAATATTTTTGACCATGTTTTATTATACGCATAGATTTCCATAAATAGATTATCATAATTAATTATAGATTTAATTATATTATTATTTTGTGTTTTATTTATCGTAATATTTATTGAATCCATTTTAAACACTAAATAATTTACAATAATTATAAAATATATTAATTGCCAAATAATAATAACTACACAATTGTATGCAACATAGACTGTAATAATTGAATTTAGAATGGCAATGTAAACATTGACCAAGTTGACAAGGTATATTATACCAACAGCAATCATGTATATAATAAATATAAATTTCAAAGTAATTTCTATCATTTTAATTACAACTTTACTAAATCTTAACAATTTATAGACGAGTTGTATGTCTTGAATGCCAATACTTTTAGGTGTAATAAAACCCGAAAGCATTTCAAATACTCTCAAATTCGTTGTATTTATACCTCGTTTATAGTTATAATAATGTATTAATTGTGAGAGAATTGGTAGAAACATATAAATAATAGCACATAAACTCGTTTGGATTCTTATGCCAAAAAAGTATGTCATATCTCCGTTAATGATATAAAATTCTCGATTCTGTTCCGGAATTAATACAAACAGAATTTGTCTAAAAGTCCACAAAATATTTGTAATGAAAACAAGTAATGGATGTTTGAATGTATTTCTATAGGCATTGAACGGCTTATACATCGAGAGACCAATACTATAGAAATGAGTGCCGGCTTTACGTATAGCCAGCCTTTCGGGCAATACTTTGTCCACTTTTATATCATTTGGTTTATCAATAATTTTAAATTTATAAATAAATAAATTTGTAAATAATAAACAAATACTAGTTTTAAACCTACAATACATATAACTCAAATTAATCATAATTCAATGCTATATTGATATTAGTTTATTGTGAATGAATTTCTTTACCATAAGAATATTTTAGAAACAGTGTCATAAAATAATTATAATAACAAATTATTTATAGAATTTTATACATTTATTTAATTATATAAAGTAAAATTAATGTATTTGTTCATTTTATGTTACATTGTTGCATGTAGGTCATATTTTCTCTTAATGATAGTTAATTTAGAAAATGATCGTTATCTAAGACAATATATTATGTCAATTTCCAATAATCATTATATTATGCTATTAAAATAATACAGTATTTATTATATATTGTTTTTCTAACACTATATAATCGCTATTCTTTCTGCTATTTACATCATTTAATTATCATATAGAAATTACGCAGTTTTATATATTAATAATTATTATGTCGCTTTAATAATTTTATAAATAATAGACCCATAAAACAAACGATCTATAAATTGCAAATTTAAATTATGTCTATTATTTGTATAAAATAATTATTATATTGGCTCAACTGAAAACCAAGCGATCGATTGTAGTTGCAGTTTAATTCTGGTGCTTAAAAATGTTAACGTAAATTATGATACCATGTTCATAATTGTAACAACACCACAACTACAATAGACCGCTAGGTTTTCAAGTGTTTAATACTTTTAATCCTTGAAAACTATTGATTTTAAATAATTTCCAACAATAAAATCCCACTTTATTTCCACCCAAACGCTCAATAAATATCAATAACTAATGATTGAAAATTATTAAAATATAGATATGTAATGAATGTATAAACTAATTAATTCATACCTTATATCGTTGACGAATGCCATGTTTTTGAGCAACATTTAATGAATTTGATGTTTTATACAATTTAGTAATTTTATGGTGAAGTTTTGATGTAAAATATATTAAAAGTAATAACACTTGCAGTAATACAATGGCGATAATAAATATCATTGTTTTAGTTATAATATGTGTATTCAAATATAATGAGGCAAATGTCATCTGACTTATGGATGTCGATATGATTAGCCAATAAATGATCAATATTTTTGACCATGTCCGATTATACGCATAGATTTCCATAAATAAATTATTGTATAGTATTATTGACTTAATTATATAATGATTTTGTATTTTTGTTTTGTTATTTATTGAATCCATTTTAAGCATTAAATAATACACAATAATTACAAAATATATTAATTGCCAAATGATTATGACTACACTATTGTATGCAACATAAACCATAATAATAGTATGTGGGATTACCAAGTACAACTTTACTATACTAATAAGGTACACTATGCCAATACCAAAAATATAACATATTAAAATGAAGCTAGTTATCATTTCTGTCATTTTAAACATAATTTTACTAATTTTTAGCAATTTATAGACGAGTTGTATGTCTTGAATGTCTATACTTTTAGGTGTTATAAAACCGGAAAGCATTTCAAATACTCTCAAATCCATGTGTTTTATATCTTTCTTATAGTTATAATAATGTAATAATTATAACAGAATTGGTAGAAACATGTAAATAATAGCACATAAACTCGTTTGGATTCTTATGCCAAAAAAGTAAACGATATCTCCGCAAATAACATAAAATTCTCGATTCTGTTCCGGAATTAATACAAACAAAATCTGTCTAAAAGTCCACAAAATATTTACAATAAAAACAAGTAATGGATGTTTGAATGTATTTCTATAGGCATTGAACGACAATTAGCTATATGTTAAAAACGCGATTAAAATTATTTGATAAATTACTCGATTAAATATTTTATAATAATTTTTTGAATTTATCTAGATGTTTTTATAATATTTCATGCATATTATGTTAACAATACTTTTAAATAAGATTTCATACAAATGTAATCGAAACTCATATTTACTATTAACAGTCGTTTAACAGTATTTAGTTATTTTACATTAAATTTTTATAAAGTATATTTTTAAAATAAATAATTATGCACTTAATAACTGAATTAACATAACAGTGAATACAATGACTGAACCAATGAATGAAAAGAAAAATTTTATATTAATTGTAAAGATATTGAATGCCATGTATTTTGTTTGTGAATATCTATTGAAATCTAATTTTAAATTTATGCTCAGATTTAAATGTAGTAAATTATTTGATGAATTATTTCTATCAAAATGCAATAATAATTGATTAACTGTCGGTCTCTGGGATTGAAAGTAATTAATACTCAATATGTATATCATATTCATTAAAAATAAGTAAAAATATTCAATCATTCCGTGACTTATATTTCTATAAAATAATTCATTGTATTGTTTTGTTAGAGAAATATATGTTAATCGCAAACAAAGCATAAAAAACAATTGACAAATCCATAGAAATGGGAAAATACCTAAACTATTATTTATAGATTCTTTAAAATTTTCAATTGTTAGAAGTTTTTCCTTTAAATGATTATAATTTAAATTATTTTCAAATATTAATATCTTTTCCATGAGATATACGGCATAACACATGTATATTAACAGCAAATAAGTGGCAATCATTAAACCGTGAAGTTGTAAACACCAGAGAATCTCAAACACCAAAAGTGTATCAAAATAATTATAATGAATATAAAAAGTTATAACAGATATGAGTTGTATTGCAATGAATATAATCCATAATAATGTCATTAATTGTGAGCATCTCTTCATACGGTGTTTGTGTCGATCGGACACACATTCAGTCATATCTGAGAGTAATTTCTTGATTTTATTGGACTTAATTTCAAGGTATATAAAACCGGTTAACATTATTATAATAGTTATAATACTCGATATATTCCATACAATTTTAAAATTAAATACTTTAATGTTTCTTATATAAATTATATTTACGCAAATATAATATAACATGGTTAAAATAGATATGAATTTAGATGTATATTTTATGCAAATATTATAAATGTTTTTGCGTTCATTAAACATTTTATTAGGAAAACCAAGTAAAATAAAAATAAATGTTGGTGAAAGTAACTTCATAATTAAGCACGTTAATTATTTAACATTAAAATTTTGAATTGATGAAAAAGGTTTACAAATATTGTGATTTTTATGTCAATTGTCTTCACTATATGTTTGATTATACAGTGACTGTATTTCAGTCAATCCTGGTTATAGGCTAACTGGATATAAAATATTTATTATATTTATCACCTGTATAAATAAATACCATTTACAATAAATATAATTAAATAAATGCAATTTTTTGCTACAACATATTTATTAAATAAAATAAATTAAGTAAACAAATTATTATTACAAGTATAGTTGTTTACAATGTTACAGTAAACAAATATTTAATTATCTGGCAAAAAACGACACAAATATTTACATTTTATTATTATTAAATTTTTATTAAAAAATATTAAATAAATGCATAATTAACTAAATGTTTAAATTTGCATAATATAAATCAATTATGCATAGTGGTAAATATATAGGAAGTAAAGTCTTGGTCAAATGCACTGGTTAAGACCAAAACCACAGACAACACAACAACAGTGTACTGTATATTACACAATAAATTTAAGCTGTTTGTACAAATTAAACAATTTAATTAACAATTTGATAAACATTTTGAAGTGCATAATATTTTAATTTGTTTTATAAAATATATTGTAATTAATTTTCTATATTTAGACATTTTAAGTCACTTTTCTACAAGATTTGGTATTTAATTATTAATTAAAAATCTATAGAGAAGTGGTATTTGTTTGAGTGATTGCGAGGAATGTCTGTTCGAGGGAAGAGTTGGTCACCAAATAGTCCTCTAAATTGAGTTCACATTTCAATGTTTCCAATGAACCAAAAATTTGCGATAATTTTAAATCCAGATTAAGATTATAGTAAATGACACACAAATTGCTGTACTTTTCCACACATTTATCGCCAAACAAGTCATGCATTCGTGACTTCAAAGTGGAGATAATCTCATCACTCGTTTCGCCATTGATTTTTAGGATCACATCAAACCCTTTGCCGTACCTGTTCTTCAGCTCATCAGTGAATCCAATGGTTTTGATCACACCTTTGGACACAATCGCCAACCGATCGCATAGTGTTTGGCATTCAATCATATTATGCGAAGTCAACAGAATTGAAGTTTTGGACGAAACGACTAAATCTCTTAACAGTCGCCAAATGGACAGTCGAGACGACGGGTCGACACCAGTGGTCGGCTCGTCCAGCAGTAGGAGCCGAGGACTGGCCATCACTGCCACAGCGAGGGATAGTTTACGCCGATTACCGCCGCTATAAGTGGACACTCTTTTGTCGATAATTGTCTTTAACTCAAACTTTTCGCTAATGTTTTTGATAAACATTTTCAGCGCTTTTGTCTGAAGTCCGCGGATTCGCCCGAAGAATACCAGTGTTTGTCTTCCCGTCAATTGATCCAAAAGGGCGTCCGTTTGCGGACAATAACCGACTCGTGAGTAAAATTGTCTCTTATTGGCCATTAGGTCGGCGTTTGAGCCCAAGTATGCGTTCCCGGAGTCCATCTCGAGATCGCCGGTCAGTAACCGGAAAGTAGTCGTCTTTCCCGAGCCATTGGTCCCCAAAAGACCGAAACACTGGTCTTTGTTCACCACAAACGACATCTCATTCGGAATAATAGTCTTTTTGTTGAGATTTTTAGTCAATTTATCGCAAATAAGTGAAACGCTGTCAAAGTTTTCACTCCTTATTAATTGCGAAACCGTTTCGTATTCTTGTCTCAAATCCGGGCTTTCGATCACTTCTTGCAATTCAATGGCATTCAAGTCGTGGACATCGATGTCGTCCCTAATGGCGGAGTATTTCTTCATCAAATTATATACTGTTTTATGAAATTTGGTTTCAATCGTGAATACAATACACATATAAATCACGCCATAAAACAGGAAATGTATGAAATAAGCGCTGATGTAATCAAACGGATTGAGAAACTGATGGCAATTGGTGTCAAAGTGTTGTACTCTTAACTCATATATTGAGTAGTGTTTGAAATCCAATTCAGTGGTTGTGTTACATACGGGTCGACAGCAAAACTTCTTCGCCCCGTAAACGTAAAACTCCCGACCCTTCGGACAGTAGCTCCGGAGGGGGTCCTCCCTTTCCATCGCCGGACAAATGGTATTTATAAACAATATTTGGTGCAAAAAGTCGATGCAATTGAGAAACAGTACATTCGGTGCCAAAAGTGTCAATAACTTCATGATAAATGTCGGCCGGAAATAACTGGCCGTCAGTTCAATGAGTATAACAACTGTTCCGACGATTATATTATACAATGATATGAATGTGAAAGCAGTCGACGGTTTTGTAAACATAAATGATATTAAGTATGCAAACGGTATGAATGCCAGACCATAGCAGAGGAATGATAGGTATAGGGATGTCATCGACAGATCACTGGCCATCAGATATGTCTTTGTGTCAAACATATAGTAAACCAATACATAAATGACTGAACAAAACGCGTGTATAATAAAGTCAAACATAAAGTTTGTGAACCAATAGAGGCATGGATTCAATCCCGACATGAATTGAATTAATTTAAACTTTGTTTTCCATTCAGTGATCGGTTGTAAGACATATGCGGCGGAAGTGAAGGAGAAAACACATAAGAAGATCACATAATCTGTTCCCACAATAATCTCTTGAGCGCTGAATCGTTGGCCAAAATTATTGTCATATCCTCTTTGAATCTCCTGTAAGGCCTCGTGAGAGACACTAATTGTGTAATCATTATCTTTGGTCAACGTCTTGAGCAAAGTGTTTGTCATTAGATTCAATGATATCGGGAGTGAATGATAAGCGATATAATTGTGCCAAACGTTGACATCCATTGACTTATAATCGGCGCTAATATTAACCGAAACGCCAAACAATATGTTATGAAAATAGTTGTAAAGACTTTCGCCGGAAGAGTAGTCGACAAGTCTTTGGGAAATATTTTTTTGCCAATCATTTCCTAAATTGATTTCTTGTATATTATTATCACTCAAAACATGTGAATATGTTTTGGCAAACAGTGTATCGTTTGTGACGACAAACCCTTTCATTCCTAAACCATATATTGAATCGCTTTTGAATTCAAGCGTTTTTGTGTAATAATCGCGAAAATATAGGTATAAATCAATTGTAATGAAAAGCATTATAATAGCAATCATTGGTATTATTATTAATGTAAACCATTCGACGATATGTTTTGTCAGATAATGAAATCGTTTGTAAAATATTGCGAAAATTTGACTTAAAATTAGCATAACTTGTGAATTGAGTTTCTCAGCGGCAGTCATACCCTCCTCGACGAGAATCTCATTGTTTTCAACAATAATTTCGTTGTTATTATCACTGAAATGATTGTCATTTGTGGACACAATCTTCGCGTACGAACCCTCCAGAGTCTGCATTCCTAACGACATGTCATTAATGGCCAAAATCGGTGTCTTTTCCTCCAATTGTGCAAACATTGCACTGAAGTTACGATTGTCTCCGAAGTCTAACTCATAGACCAGTTCTTCATTATCTCTCAATTCATTTCTCTTAATAGTCTTAATGTTTGCAAACTTTCCAATAATTGCCGTTATTTTACTCTCGGTTTGCATTTCAATAGATTTGCAAACTTTGAGTTCGTATCCGGAATTGAATCGCTTTTTCATCTCAAGAGTGGATCCATTGAAACGAACCATACCTTCAGAGATGATACAGATTTGATCCGACAGTAGATTCGCTTCTTCGAAGTCGTGTGAAGTGATTAAAACAGTTTTGCCGGCATTTCTTGAAGCAATAATCAGATCCCAAACCTGTCGTCGGATCCGCGGATCCAAAGCAGCCGTCGGTTCGTCTAATACTAAGACATCGTTGTGTCCGATGAGAGCCATCGACAGCACCAGTCGTCTCAGTCCTCCGCCCGACAAATGAAACGCCTCTTTGTTTAGGTCTTTCTCGAGACTCAAGAGTCGGACCAACTCTTGACCACTATATCCGTCATCGCTGTCACGGATGGCGTGTTTTAGTCGCGAGAATAGCATTAAATGCTCTCTAATTGTCAAGTATTTAAAGTAAACGTTTTCTTGCGGACAAATTCCGGTCATATTACTTGACCACTATATCCGTCATCGCTGTCACGGATGGCGTGTTTTAGTCGCGAGAATAGCATTAAATGCTCTCTAATTGTCAAGTATTTAAAGTAAACGTTTTCTTGCGGACAAATTCCGGTCATATTCTGCACTAAACTTTGCTCACGTATGATATGATGGCTACCGATAGTCACCTGTCCTTTAAAGCCAATCAAACCGGTAATTATGTTGATTAGTGTTGTCTTTCCCGAACCGTTTGGTCCCAAAAGTACGGCAATTGTCTTGTCTTTTACTTCAAAGTCTATTCCCTTTAAAATTGTGTCCGATTTTAAGCCAAACATTGTTTTATAAGTTTTGCGCAAATTATTTATACGAATAATCGCCTCGTTTTCAACCATCGGTTCCCACACTTTGTCGCGACTTTTGCCAAACAATTGTCTCATTTTGCGATACAATGAAGTTATGGGAAAATAAAATGGTTTATGTATTGTGTGTTTGAATGGCATTACAGACGAGAAATACCAAATCAATAGACCGTAGATTTCATACGATATGACAATCATTGCCAACACTTGGCTGACATTCATGTGATCAAAAAAGTACCCTGATTCAAACACGTGGGCCCAATCGGCTCCCGTCTCGGCATTCACTATGAGTCCAATGCATATATGAATGAACCAAAAGAGGGCACAATTGGGTAAAAGGCATGAAAACACTTCAAGTCCGGTGTCGGACAGCACCGGACGTGACTTCCCTATGAATAGGAAGGTATAGGCGATAGGAATGGCAAATGTGATAATCCATGCGATTATCGTCACAATCACTGCGAGGTTTGGATTGCGGAAGAAAACCGATATTAAGGCCACAAATAGTATACTTTGTATGAGAAATAGCAGCGAAAATGAGACAAATAATGGCACAGATATGCCGTCCAGTAGTGAATGCGAGTAAACGGTGTCCACACGTCTATAGTCCGTATAGTAAGTGATGTTATCGTAAGACAATATCAACAATATTATGATTAATTGTAAGCCAATCACTACCAGTGCGTCGATTATAACGGAGAACCAGTGGTCGACCCTTTGGACACCCATTTGAAACAAATAGTCGGTAATCCGGGTCTGTCTGTCCTCAACGATACGCTTCACTATAACGGGTAACATAACCAACAATTCAAACAGTATTACTAAAACCACATAGTATTTCATGTCTAGATTTCTTGGCGTTTGAATCTTGTTATACACTGTAATCGATGGGAACGGCATTTGATGGCCAGTTATGTTCACATTGTTGGCGATTGGTTGGCCAGTGGTCAGCCAAATGTGGGCCAAATCTATTTCTTGTTGTAATTCTGCTAAACCCTTACGTACATATAGGTAATTTGTGGGCTCTGACCTAGATAAAAATGCAAAACTCTTATCAAACCCGCTCTTCATATACTGGTCATCGTGGTGGGCGTAACTGTCAAACGTGATCAGTTTGTATTTGAGATGCTTGGGTGGGCCCACCATATCGTTGCCAAACGA